TAATTATTTTATTTATGTGGAATTTGTGTGATAATATGTTATATTTACATATTGAGCTATTTTTGCCGACTTTGAGAGTTTCGGGTAAAATTAGGTTGGAGGGTATTTTGGGCATTAGTGATAATATTAAGTGGATATTTTGTGAGAATTAATTGATAAGTGTGTGGAAAGAATTTGGGAGGAAAGAAAATAGAATATGTGATATAGAGAGAAAAGAGAAAAATAGAAACATTAAGAAGAAAAACAAGAGAAAGAGAAGAGGAGGAGAGAAAAGAAGAGAAAGTGGAGCAAACCTAGAATCATCAAGAATCAACCTTAGCTTGCGATTAATCAGGTAAGGGTGAGAAGTTTTATCATCTTGATAATGTATGTAATCATGTATGTGCTAGATTGGATTTGTTGGATTGTTTTCTATGTTTCTATTTCTAGGTTGGAAGTTGGTTTAATCGGTAGAAATTAAGTTTTATCGGTTAGAATCTGGAATAGATGGTGTTGTTTAGTCGGGTGATGAGTGGGCTATGCTACTGGGACTTATTTGGATTTAATCGGTCAATTTTTGAGGTTATGATGATTTTGGAGCAGTTGGGGTTTTCTAGTTTCGCAGGTTCGCCAGCATTCGCCAAGCGAAGCCCAGCGAGTGGGCAGCGAACCTATGGCAGTGGCCAAGATCAGCCTTCGCTGGCAATTTTGCCAGGCGAAGGTGCTAGCGAAGGAGTTCGCCAGGCGAATCCCAGCGAACGTGGCAGCGAATCTATGGTAGTAGCTTCTGTTTGGCTTCGCCAGCGAGTTCGCCAGGCGAATGGCAGCGAGCCTTCGCTGGAGGGCTTCGCCAGGCGAAGGTTAGCGAACTTGATAGCATGTTTTCTTTTCTTGTGTTTCCTATCCGTGGCTTGGTTGTGTGGTTTGATTGCGATCACTCCTTATCTAAGATGACTAATTATATGCTGTTATGTACGCTGTGGGTAGCCGTATGGCGTGAATCCTAGTTTGTGAAGTGTGAAATGTGGCTGTTTGGCAATTTTATACATTTACTTGAATTGAATAGAAATGCATGGTGATAATGATTGTGAATGCGAACCATGTATGAAATTGGTTTGAATGGATGATGAATATATGTATGATTTGTGATACATATATTTTGAATGCATAACGAATATATGCGACGAATGTGATGAATGCATGAGTATGTTTTTAAATATGTATGCATTTCAAGAGTGTCACGAGTCATGTTGCATGTGGAGCATCATGGTATGCATTCTTGTGTCGATTGATTTCTCGGTGAATCTGTAGAACCTCGTGTGCCCTTGTGGGGTGTGAGCGATGGTTATTTATTGATTCCTCGGTGAATCTGCAGAACCTCGTGTGCCCTTGTGGGGTGTGAGCGATGGTTATTTATTGATTCCTCGGTGAATCTGCAGAACCTCGTGTGCCCTTGTGGGGTGTGAGCGATGGTTATTTATTGATCCCTCGATGGATTTACAGAACCTCGTATGTTGCAATGGTTATATTTGATTCAGCATAGAATCTTCAGAACCTCGTGTGCCCATGTGGGGTGCGAGCGATGGTTATTTTTGGTTCGTCAATTGAACCTGCTGAAATGAGTCGATACCGCATTTGCATCTGCATAGAGTCGTGTGTCGGTCTCTATGAGTTGCATGTTGACATCTGTGCATGATGTATGGTGAATAAACATGAATGTAGATGTTTATGTAAATTGTTGATAATTGGCATGAATGGAAGGCTTGAAGATACATGTATGTGTGAATATATATATGTATATGTGTGTATGTTTATGAATTGATATAAACATTGTTGATGCATATTGTATATGCTTGGTGCTCTATTTGTAAATAATTTATTGTGAATATATATATATATATATATATATATATATATATATATATATATATATATATATATATATATATATATGTGTGTGTGTGTGTGTGTGTGTGTGTGTGTGTGTGTGTGTGTGTGTGTGTGTGTGTGTGTTTATATGCATTATGTATTATGATATTGTTTCTCACCCTTCTGCTGTTTTATAATGCTCTATGAGGCATTGCAGATTAGTTGGCTGGAGGTATTTTTGTGAAGCGTGACTTCATTCCTTTTTGGTCGGTCGGCTCTGATATGTAGCACCGGGTAGCTAGGGATTATTTTGATTCTTTTGTGATACATCTATGTTTGTATCTGCTGGATGAATATTGTTTATATCGACGATGTTGTAAATCAACTTGAATGATGTATATGTATGTGATTACATGTTTTGGAGGTTATGAAATAGTTAGATGTTTCCGCCTATGTTCTAAATATTTTTCCTTGTGGGTGTTGCCCCCTTGTTGCATATCTGTTGAGCAGGTGTTGTACGTGTTGAATTTTTGTATAATATGGCATTCCTCTTTTATACCGTGATTGTAATTATACTCTGATGATATATTGATTACGTGCCTAAATGATTTATTGTGTTTATTTGGGGTATAGAAAGAGGGTGTTGCAATTTCCGCTGTATATGATGTTTTGATGTATTGTGAGAAAACCCGTGTGTTACGGAGTATTGACCAATTTTTTTGACTTTGAGAATGTACGCCCTTTTGTGGCTTTTTAATAAAAGTTAATATTTTACTTTGAAATCCGTGTGATTTTGCCGTAATATCTGTGGGGTAGAATAAGGGTGTTACATCTAAAGTTTAGATGTTCATACTTGTGATGCCATAGTCAGTTCTTGTCTTCAGCAACACTCAAAGCAAGACATTGATGATCAATCGTGTTGATCTCTACTTTGAAGGTTTTGTTATCTACCAATGGTTCCATCAAGATCATCCTTCCTTCTCCATTATACACCTTCATCAGATTTTCTTCTAACTTCATGTTAAACCCTTTAGCTAGTAATTGACTTATGCTTATCAAATTACTTGTCATCAAAGATACATACAATACATCAGTAATACTAACCCTCTTACCATTTTTTCTCACCATAATTATGTTTCCTTTTCCACTTGATGTGACATGCCTGCCATCTGCAAACCTGATCACTTTCTTGACCGATTCATCTAGCTTGTTGAACCAGTTTTTATTACCAGTCATGTGGTTACTGCATCCTAAATCTAGGTACCACATGTTGGTTTGTTCATTATTCGACTCCCTATTTGCCATGAGTAGCATATCATCATAGTCGTTTCCTCCAACATGTACATATTATACTTCGTCATTATCTTTCGCTCTTAAATCTTTCTTTCTTAGAAAATCTCGAGCTTAACGACCAAATCCTTGACATATGTAAGACTACATCTTTCATGTCAACTTTATTTCCTAAATACTTGTTGCCCATAACTTTCTTGGTTGAATCGGAGTGATTCTTTGAATTCTTGCTTGACTTTTCATCATCCGCAATATTCTTTCTCTTCTTCGCCTTTTCTTTTCCAAACTTCTTGATGAAGCTTGCAATGTCTGTTCAGCCACCTTTTCCCTTTCGGAGTTCCTTTGCTTCAGCCTCATTTCATGAGCCTCTAATAAAGCTTGAAGTTCTTCTAACTTGATCTCAGTTAAGTTCTTGGACTCTTCAATATACACTACAATATAATCAAAGTTTGTAGTCAGAGATCTCAACACTTTCTCAATCTTCTGCAAATTATTGATTGATTCAGCACAAACCTTCATCTGGTTCGTGACTAACATTAAGATTGAGAAGAAATTAGTGACCGGTTCATCTTCTTTCATCTGTGTTATCTCAAATTGCTTTTTCAATGTCTGCAATTTCACCTTCTTCAGTTTTTCATCTCCGTCTTACGAGTTCTTCAGCTTGTCTCATGCTTCTTTGTATTATTCTTCATTAATGATAGAACACGTTAGGATCCACACATTAATGAATTAAAAAAATAGTTTTTCCATCTTTCTTCCTTTGTTCCTCATGTGCAACCTTCTGAACATTATTTCCATTCGCTTCTAACGTAGGTACTCCAGTATTCACGATTTCAAACAAATCTTAAAATCTGAAGATGACCTTCATTTGCCTAACCCACCTCTCGTAGTTCTCGCCTTTATACATCGGTAGATTCATTAAAAATTACATTGATGTTATGTTATCATTTGTCATTACAACAGTTAAAATCTTTCTGAATTGCAACTGAACTCATTGATACTAATTTATTAAAACAGTTAAAAATTTTAAATAAAATAAAATAAACTAGAGAAATTATATTGTGAAAATAGAACTTCCTAAAGCACAATTGCATTTTAACATTACCGATACATATAGGTAACTAAACATACAATAGGTAATTAAATATACAATTTACATCATGGCGAATACTTACACATTTTAAAACATATTCCATTCTATATTGAATAGACTAATTTATATCTTCTGACATGCCATAAGGTAGTCAAAAAGTATATTACACATTACTTTGATACTACTTTTATTTTATTTATTTATTTTATATTATAATATAAATCGTTTTATAATATTAATAAATTATTAAAAAAATTTTTTATTATACTCTTAAAAAATAAATAATAATTTTATAAAACTCTTTATAAAATTATTTTATCATAAATCATTTTGTACTATAATATAAATTATTTTATAATATTAATAAATTATTAAAATTATTTTTTCTATTATACTCTTAAATAATAAATAATAATTTTATAAAACCCTTTATAATTTCTATTACAAAGTCCAAAACAACTTATAATAAAAAATTATAAATTATAATAAAAAATAGTGAAGTACATATCAAATGACATAGACGAGATCCAAATACATATAAAACATTTTACAAATAATGCTGAAATTTATTTTCAGAAAAATATATACATTGTTTCAAGTCGAAACTTTTAATTACTAATAATGTTTTTTTTTTCAAACACAAACTCTAGAAATATCCGCAACCATCAACACGTTGTCTCATTTCATTTGGCTCGAAACGCATCTTCAGCCGAATACATTCATTCACTCTCTACAACACTACACCGTTTCACCGTTTCAAACGGTTCAA